CAAATGCATGGACTAGTTTCTCAGCATCACCCCTGGACAGGAGATTGCTCATTTTTTAGATTAGATACTGTGGTTATTCTGGAATAATCTCAGCATACATATGATTATATATCTAATCATTATTATTTAACCTGATTAAGTACTAAAAATCTTAATTACCACAACGTTTGTAGTTACAAGCCAAAACAACTTAATAGGTGAAGATTAAACAGGCGGTTATCTCTTCATCATTCTCAGATCATGCAGATCTTGTCTCATTCAGTTTTCCTGTTACTGACTCATAAATCCAACCATAAATCAGCAAAACAACTAATAATAACGATCTGAGGATATAAACTAAAGGTCACCAATCAGTTCTGAAAACAGCTTTAGATGAACCGTCTCACCATTCTCACCGTAATACATCCTTCCATGCTCCAGCTGCGGGAAAACAACCCTTTAGAATTTAGATTTCTCTTCATTTCTTCTGTCATATATTGATGTATGCTGTTTACTCTCCTTTTTAACTGAGTTGTTTTACCTGGAAGGCCTCAGAATGTCTGAGTGAGGGGAGGTTATAGACAGGAGATATTCCTAACATGTTACCGTTTAACCAAAGTGTCTGTAAATGTTTGGACTCTGCCTTTAAGGAACAACTTTGTCAACTTTGTCTAAGTCCTTCCAGACTTCCGGTTGTTAAAACTGAATCTTTTCGCTTCCCTTCAAGATTCACGTTAAACTGGACCTGAGAGAACTTTAGGTTTTATGGTTTTATTAAAGCTTCAGGACATTTGCAATGCCAATAAAATCAAACGTTGTTTTTTTCATATGTCTGCATCAGGCTCACAGTCGACGCTCCGCTTCCAGATACGTTTAGAACCGATGCTTCCTTTGGTCCAAAGGACAGAATCAGATTTCTGATACGGACAGCAGAATGCCTGGATTCCCTCAGTCCAGCTTCCTGCTAACAATCCAACTGATGGTGGGAGATTTTGCAGCTTACAGGAAGCCTGATTAGCAGTAAGCAGATTAGCCATGTGGGATGGGAATTCAACCTGGCCTTTCAGAAATGCTCCGTTTGCTTCACGGCTGAAGCTGGCAGGTCGAACTCATCCAGAGGAGAACAGCAGTGTGGAGCGGCTCCACATGGAGGATCAGCTCAGCTCTGAAAGGTTTGTGTTTCCTGACGTATCAAAGTTCAGATGTTGTCCATGTTTAGTGATTTCTGCAGTAGATGCCTTTATGTTGCCGTTCTCCATTCATGGACGTGATCCGGGGCAGAAAGCAGAGTCTGTACTGTAATGATGAAGCTTCATACCATCTATTCCACCTCAGTTTCATCTTGTTGTTTCCCTGCAGGTCAGACATGTTCGCTGTGTCTCTGGAGTCGAGGAGAAACCAAAATACCTGATTAAGATCCTTACGACACCCTGCTGGCAGCAGCAACTGCTGCTTCACGCCCTCCATCTTCGCTGTGGTGAATCTCTGACGGTGCTGGATCAGAGAAACGAGTCAAATGATTCTCTCACCACTGAAGTCTGCTGCAGGAAGAGCCGCGAAAAAGAGTGAACATTTTCCATCCAGATGAAGACGCAGCCTGTTGTCTTCCTCTCTGGGAAAGAGGACTGTTTGGGAAGAAAGAAGATTAAACAAAAGTCTGGGTTCTACTGGTGCCTTCAGCTTCAGTAAGTTTTGACTTCAACTACCGGCCTTAAAATCTAGAGTTTGGACTAAAGAGGAAGGAGCAACTGGGAGCAAAATCCAATAGGATCAATACTTCATTCCTGAATCCCAGTTCTTCCTGCAGAAACATAGATCAGTTATGTTTCTGATCCAGGAGATGTACCCCATCGCAGCGGTAGTCCTGGGCTCTGCCACCATGTTCGGTTCCTCCTGGACCTAAGTCCCTCAAAACCGGAGGGCCGACATGGCAGTCGGTAAGATAACCTTCACCAAGACCGAGAGGGAGAAACTAGCCGAAGTCCTCTGGCTGCTCAACTGGATCTCTGTTCTGACTGGAGTCATTCTCTTCGGACTGGGCTTGTTTCTCAAAATAGAGATCCAGAAATGGCAGGAAGTGATGTCAGAGCAGGGGATCCTCTATGTGCCCCATATGCTGATCACCACAGGCCTGGCAGCCTGCGGCATCAACTACCTGGGCAGCAAGATCTGCCTGGACTGCGCCGACACCAACAAGTTCCTCCGCTGGAAGTTGGTGATGATGCCGTACATCGTCTGCACCTTCTGTTTCACTGCCTGCGTCCTGGCGGGGGCGCTGCTGTGCTACACTATTCGCAGTCAGCTGGAGCAGTCCCTGTACCTGGGCCTGAGGAGCGCAATGCGTTTCTACAAGGACACAGACACACCTGGCCGCTGTTACCTGAAGAAAACCCTGGACATGCTGCAGATCCAGTTCCAGTGCTGCGGGAACACCGACTACCGGGACTGGTTCCACATTCAGTGGATCAGCAGCCGATACCTTGACATGACCAACAGCGCCGTGGTGGAGTAAGTTCAGGCAAAGGCCGAAGGTCCTGGAGCTTGATGCAGGTTCATTGTGAAGTTTGGTCCGACCAGAACATCCATGATGATGGAAAGACCAGGAGAACTTTCTAAAGGCAGGAAGCATGTAGAATACCAGGATGTAGAGTCTTCTTTAAACTCGGGTTAAACTTGTAGCTCTGCCTCGCTCTTCCGAATGTGGCGGCAAAGGGCGAGATCTTAAGGGGGCGGGGCTAAATATGAAAGATCTCAGACGACCACCTTCTGATGGTGCGGATGGTGTAACAGGCTGCTTTTGACATGGGGGGTGTCCTCTGGCTGTATGATAAAGTTATTATAACTGCGTTAGGGTGCTGAGTCTGTAGCCTGGGTGTGATAGCGTCTCCCCACAGGCAGCGGCTGCCCCCGCTCGGGGGGAACGGAAACACAGATGGCGATCATGTGACTGAATTCCCTTGGCAGATAATATGGCCGCATGCTAATTGCTAACAGCTGGAGGTCCCGGTAGCATAACACAGTCTCTACTGAGATAAGTCCTGGGTTAAACCAACATGTGGTTGGTTCATAAACATGATCACAAATCATGATCTACTACTCAGTTGACAGGATGTGAGTTTTTATTTTTATTATTTTCAGATTACACATAGATAGATTGATAAATTCCACAGGGAGAAAAGGAATTACTTT